TACATTAGAGTCGCCATTAACTTAATGGCTCAGTGACGCTGTTAGGCTTACTGTGGGAGGGGGGGCGGCGCTCCCCACCTGTGTGGGGGGGAGGGAGGGGCTCCACACCTGTGTGGGGGGGGGGAGGGGCTCCACACCTGGGTGGGGGGGAGGGAGGGGCTCCACACCTGTGTGGGGGGGAGGGAGGGGCTCCACACCTGTGTGGGGGGGAGGGAGGGGCTCCACACCTGTGTGGGGGGGAGGGAGGGGCTCCACACCTTTGTGGGGGGGAGGGAGGGGCTCCACACCTGTGTGGGGGGGAGGGAGGGGCTCCACACCTGTGTGGGGGGGGAGGGAGGGGCTCCACACCTGTGTGGGGGGGAGGGAGGGGCTCCACACCTGTGTGGGGGGGAGGAATACGTCAGTATTCAGGTATTCATATAAGAAGGAAAATCTTCGTAGTCTCCGTCGGCTAAGAGTGCTCTCGACCACTCGTAGCTTTACGTAAACTGGATATAACTCAATTTTTCTCAACTACAGAACACGGAGGATTGATTTTATAATAAACCAAACATTTTAGCGGGAGAGTTTCGTGAAGAGACGTCCTTCGTGTTAACTAAGATATTATAACAGTAGTTATTAAGTTAATCAACAGTGGTGAACATGAAATATGAGAGAAGGTGGCTGGTGGGAGCACTATCTGGCGGCCTCGTCCAGGCCACTAGAGAGTTAGTGGCTCTTGGGTAAATTGAGGTAAATATGTACGCAAATAAACACCACGGCTTCTCAAGTCTTGAGAGCGACAAGGGCAGCTATACACTCAGAATAACGTAGGTAAACAAAAAATGCAACATTTGTGTTTACAACAATGTCGCTGCTGACTTTACAAGTTGAAAAAACATTCTTTTACTTCAAATATATTAATTTTATAAGAAAATTCGAGGTAAATAAGTCGCAAGTGGTCAGGGATAAGCTCCGATATCCGTGATTGGCTACAGCTGTAAGGTGAAAAATGTTACCTTCTCTCTGATTGGCCAAACTAAAACCCTAGTGACATCTAGCGAAATCTAAGTGAACTACTTAAAAATCTTCGTAAGTTTACCTGAATCGCCCTTTGGCGCATTCTTAGCCGGGTTCGAATCCTTGTGGGGTGTGGAGTTTTCAGTTGCATATTGGCTAGGGGACCACGGAAGCTTGTTCGTATTTGTGTTGCTCACGTGGCCTCAAAGTGAGGGGATTTGATGAAATATCTATGGCCAAGCTTACCACCAAGTGCTGTCGGGAGGTTGGGGAAATAGCCTCGGCTACAAATGTCTTTTGAACAGTCACGAAATATCTATGTCCAAGTTAACCAAGGTTGAGGGCGTGCTACGGGTTGAGGGCGTGCTACAGGTTGAGGGCGTGCTACAGGTTGAGGGCGTGCTACAGGTTGAGGGCGTGCTACAGGTTGAGGGCGTGCTACAGGTTGAGGGCGTGCTACAGGTTGGGGGCGTGCTACGGGTTGGGGGTGTGCTACGGGTTGGGGGCGTACTACAGGTTGAGGGCGTGCTACAGGTTGAGGGCGTGCTCCGGGTTGAGGGCGTGCTACGGGTTGAGGGCGTGCTACGGGTTGAGGGCGTGCTACGGGTTGAGGGCGTGCTACGGGTAGGGGGCGTGCTACGGGTTGAGGGCGTGCTACAGGTTGAGGGCGTGCTACGGGTTGAGGGCGTGCTACGGGTTGAGGGCGTGCTACGGGTTGAGGGCGTGCTACGGGTTGAGGGCGTGCTACGGGTTGGGGGCGTGCTACGGGTTGGGGGCGTGCTCCGGGTTGAGGGCGTGCTACGGGTTGAGGGCGTGCTACGGGTTGAGGGCGTGCTACGGGTTGAGGGCGTGCTACGGGTTGGGGGCGTGCTACGGGTTGGGGGCGTGCTACGGGTTGGGGGCGTGCTACGGGTTGGGGGCGTGCTACGGGTTGGGGCGTGCTACGGGTTGGGGGCGTGCTACGGGTTGGGGGCGTGCTACGGGTTGGGGGCGTGCTACGGGTTGGGGGCGTGCTACGGGTTGGGGGCGTGCTACGGGTTGGGGGCGTGCTACGGGTTGGGGGCGTGCTACGGGTTGGGGCGTGCTACGGGTTAGGGGCGTGCTACGGGTTGGGGGCGTGCTACGGGTTGGGGGCGTGCTACGGGTTGGGGGCGTGCTACGGGTTGGGGCGTGCTACGGGTTGAGGGCGTGCTACGGGTTGGGGGCGTGCTACGGGTTGGGGGCGTGCTACGGGTTGGGGGCGTGCTACGGGTTGGGGGCGTGCTACGGGTTGGGGGCGTGCTACGGGTTGGGGGCGTGCTACGGGTTGGGGGCGTGCTACGGGTTGGGGGCGTGCTACGGGTTGGGGGCGTGCTACGGGTTGGGGGCGTGCAACGGGTTGGGGGCGTGCAACGGGTTGGGGGCGTGCTACGGGTTGGGGGCGTGCTACGGGTTGGGGGCGTGCTACGGGTTGGGGGCGTGCTACGGGTTGGGGGCGTGCTACGGGTTGGGGGCGTGCTACGGGTTGGGGGCGTGCTACGGGTTGGGGGCGTGCTACGGGTTGGGGGCGTGCTACGGGTTGGGGGCGTGCTACGGGTTGGGGGCGTGCTACGGGTTGAGGGCGTGCTACGGGTTGAGGGCGTGCTACGGGTTGAGGGCGTGCTACGGGTTGAGGGCGTGCTACGGGTTGAGGGCGTGCTACGGGTTGAGGGCGTGCTACGGGTTGAGGGCGTGCTACGGGTTGAGGGCGTGCTACGGGTTGAGGGCGTGCTACGGGTTGAGGGCGTGCTACAGGTTGAGGGCGTGCTACGGGTTGAGGGCGTGCTACAGGTTGAGGGCGTGCTACAGGTTGAGGGCGTGCTACGGGTTGAGGGCGTGCTACGGGTTGGGGGCGTGCTACGGGTTGGGGGCGTGCTGGGGACTGAGGGCGTGCTACGGGTTGAGGGCGTGCTACGGGTTGAGGGCGTGCTACAGGTTGAGGGCGTGCTACAGGTTGAGGGCGTGCTACAGGTTGGGGGCGTGCTGGGGGTTGAGGGCGTGCTACGGGTTGAGGGCGTGCTACGGGTTGAGGGCGTGCTACGGGTTGAGGGCGTGCTACAGGTTGAGGGCGTGCTACAGGTTGAGGGCGTGCTACAGGTTGAGGGCGTGCTACAGGTTGAGGGCGTGCTACGGGTTGGGGGCGTGCTACGGGTTGGGGGCGTACTACAGGTTGAGGGCGTGCTACAGGTTGAGGGCGTGCTCCGGGTTGAGGGCGTGCTACGGGTTGAGGGCGTGCTACGGGTAGGGGGCGTGCTACGGGTTGAGGGCGTGCTACAGGTTGAGGGCGTGCTACGGGTTGAGGGCGTGCTACGGGTTGAGGGCGTGCTACGGGTTGAGGGCGTGCTACGGGTTGAGGGCGTGCTACGGGTTGAGGGCGTGCTACGGGTTGGGGGCGTGCTACGGGTTGGGGGCGTGCTGGGGACTGAGGGCGTGCTACGGGTTGAGGGCGTGCTACGGGTTGAGGGCGTGCTACAGGTTGAGGGCGTGCTACAGGTTGAGGGCGTGCTACAGGTTGGGGGCGTGCTGGGGGTTGAGGGCGTGCTACGGGTTGAGGGCGTGCTACGGGTTGAGGGCGTGCTACGGGTTGAGGGCGTGCTACAGGTTGAGGGCGTGCTACAGGTTGAGGGCGTGCTACAGGTTGAGGGCGTGCTACAGGTTGAGGGCGTGCTACGGGTTGGGGGCGTGCTACGGGTTGGGGGCGTACTACAGGTTGAGGGCGTGCTACAGGTTGAGGGCGTGCTCCGGGTTGAGGGCGTGCTACGGGTTGAGGGCGTGCTACGGGTAGGGGGCGTGCTACGGGTTGAGGGCGTGCTACAGGTTGAGGGCGTGCTACGGGTTGAGGGCGTGCTACGGGTTGAGGGCGTGCTACGGGTTGAGGGCGTGCTACGGGTTGAGGGCGTGCTACGGGTTGAGGGCGTGCTACGGGTTGGGGGCGTGCTACGGGTTGGGGGCGTGCTACGGGTTGGGGGCGTGCTACGGGTTGAGGGCGTGCTACGGGTTGAGGGCGTGCTACGGGTTGAGGGCGTGCTACGGGTTGGGGGCGTGCTACGGGTTGAGGGCGTGCTACGGGTTGAGGGCGTGCTACGGGTTGAGGGCGTGCTACGGGTTGAGGGCGTGCTACGGGTTGAGGGCGTGCTACGGGTTGAGGGCGTGCTACGGGTTGAGGGCGTGCTACGGGTTGAGGGCGTGCTACGGGTTGAGGGCGTGCTACGGGTTGAGGGCGTGCTACGGGTTGAGGGCGTGCTACGGGTTGGGGCGTGCTACGGGTTGGGGGCGTGCTACGGGTTGGGGGCGTGCTACGGGTTGGGGGCGTGCTACGGGTTGGGGGCGTGGTACGGGTTGGGGGCGTACTACGGGTTGAGGGCGTGCTACGGGTTGAGGGCGTACTACGGGTTGAGGGCGTGCTACGGGTTGAGGGCGTGCTACGGGTTGAGGGCGTGCTACAGGTTGAGGGCGTGCTACGGGTTGGGGGCCTACTACGGGTTGAGGGCGTGCTACAGGTTGAGGGCGTGCTACGGGTTGAGGGCGTGCTACGGGTTGAGGGCGTGCTACGGGGTGTGGGCGTGCTACGGGTTGAGGGCGTGCTACGGGTTGAGGGCGTGCTACGGGTTGAGGGCGTGCTACGGGTTGAGGGCGTGCTACGGGTTGAGGGCGTGCTACGGGTTGAGGGCGTGCTACGGGTTGAGGGCGTGCTACGGGTTGAGGGCGTGCTACGGGTTGAGGGCGTGCTTCGGGTTGAGGGCGTGCTACGGGTTGAGGGCGTGCTACGGGTTGAGGGCGTGCTGGGGGGTTGAGGGCGTGCTGGGGGGTTGAGGGCGTGCTGGGGGGTTGAGGGCGTGCTGGGGGGTTGAGGGCGTGCTGGGGGGTTGAGGGCGTGCTGGGGGGTTGAGGGCGTGCTGGGGGTTGAGGGCGTGCTGGGGGGTTGAG